GCTTGCTGTCTCCACCCTCTCATTCATTCATTCTCTCTCTCTCTCTGTCAGCCACTCATTCTCTCTCATTGTCTTTCAGTTGCTCTCGCATTCGCTCATTCTCACTCTCTCTGCTTGCCTCTCGTTTTAATTCCATCTCATTCTCTCTCGTCTCTCCCGGGGCCAGGGGGATATTCGCTGTTCGTAAATCTCTCACTCACGGGCGTCATCGTGCGGCATATATACGTAAAGAGAATTCCACAACAGCCTCCTCCCCACCCCCTCCATCCTCCTTGCACTCTTCCCCATCGGAGCACACTGGGCAGAGCGCTAATGAATCTCCTTTTACACCCGCCCACACACAGACGACGCGCTCACACGCACGCGACACGCACACACACAGACGCGCTCACACGCACGCGACACGCACACACACACACATCGCAGGCGTCGGTCGGTTTGTGTTTCGCACACACACGAGCGATAGTTGTGTCGCTGGCGAGAAGAGCACTGCACACTAGCAAAGACAAAGGCCCCCCATATAGCCTTAGTAGACTCTTGGGGCAAGTGCTGTTCGCGACCACCTATGAAGGCCAATTTTGTGTGGTGGCCAGCACCACGCCCGGCCGCCTCGGTCTGCCCACTGCGAACGCTAACACAAACACACTGCACCAGGCATTCATTTATGGCTCAGACGACCCAGGACCGGGTTCTGATAATCGCCACTGGTGTTGGTGGCCGTGTGCGGGAATCGAACCTGGGTCTCTCGTCGGGTTCGTAGTACAGCGCCACCACGCGCTGTGCCCTCCGCTGGTTGAGTCGAGGGGGGGGGGGGGTACGGGGGATGCCAGCTCCCCATCACACTTGCCAACGTTGGGGTCTACGTTTGGGCCCCCCGACGTTTCGTGTTTACTGGGACCGAACTACGATTTAAACAAAACAACAACAACAAAAACCCCGGGACGTATCATGGGAAGAAGAGGAATATCTCACAATACCGTGGAGAGATGCAAGTAAATGCACCGTAAATTCATCGTAATTAAGTGGTGCATATTTTATTATCACTACACAAACACCGGGATTTCTAATGCCCCCTCCACCCCCCGAAGAGATGAAGGCACACGGATTCCCCAGGACGGCTGCCCTCGAGAGAGAGAGAGGAGAGAAGAGAGATGGGGCAGTCAATGGAAAACTGGGACAGGTGGCAAAACCCCCGAGAAATGAGGATGTCAACGAGGGGGGGGGGGGGGTTGCAGGCGGCCGTGCCCGCAGCGATGTCTGCCGTGGGGCGGTGTGAGCAGAGGGCAGCTGACTCGGCTACTGTACCCGTGCTGCTGCTGCTTCGGCACAGAATCTCGCCCTGGCCCGCCGGGAGCCGCTGCCAGCGACGCTCTCACGCTGTCACGCTCTCCTGTCTGCGCCTCTTTCTCTCTCCCCTCCCCGAAGTCTTCTTCATCCTGATTCTCTCCGAGTCTCTCTCCCTCTCTCTCTTTTTTTTACGATCAGTGGAAACAAGAAGATGCTCGGTGTATTCGGCACTTTGCTTCGTTCATCATTTCGTAATTTTTTTTTACTTAGCTTTATGTAAACCCCCACCTCTCGCTCACTCTCTCGCTCACTCTCTCGGTCATTCTCTCGCTCACTCGCTCGTTCACTCTCTCGGTCACTTCTCTCTCTCTCTCGCTCTCTCTCGTTCTGCACGCAGCCCTTCTCGCAGTCCGACGGCCTCCGACGCTCTCTCAATAACCTCTATTTGTCTCTCTTCCACGAGTCTCTCTCTCTCTCTCTCTTCAACTGTCTGCTCCCCGAGCCTCTCTGCTCCCTCCTGTTGCCATTCTGTCTGCGCTCGCTACCTCTCTTCTCTGTCGGCTCTATCTCCTCCCTGGTTCTCTCTCTCTCTGTCCTCGCTATCTGCCTAGCCTCCATGAGTATCTCTCCTCTCGCTCTCTCTCGCCTCTTTATTTCTTACATTTTTTTCGACCTCCCTCTCTCTCCTCCATGAATCTGCCTCCATGAGGTTCAGTGGCGCCGCTTCGTCGCAACGGATTTAATGAGCCGCTCCCCACCATCCTACAATTTGGTTGTAGTCCAGGGTACCAAAGAATACAAAATGGCCGAGGCAATTAAATGTTTTATTTCTGGGACACTATTTTTTCCAGGGGTGTACTTCACTCCGCGACTGGGGTACCAATCAATCTGACATCGGTGCCGAAACCCTGAACGCTCCTACGCACCGTGGTGGTGCATCGTGTACAGCTCGTCGAGATGAGTCGATCGCCGCATTGCTGACCATCAACAGACTAAACATGACTGCATCACGGATCATTATGCGAGAGCTGGGGTACTATGGTACCCCCCTCCCGTCGTGGCCACGCCGACCACCGCCCTTCCAGCCCATGAGCCCTGAGGCAGTTGCACCGCCTGCATACTCGACAAGCTACGCCGCCGGTCTCCCCCCCCCCCACCCCCCCGCACTGTGGAGGAAGCGAGAGTTGGTGGTTCACCGCACGAATTCTTTGAAACTCCATTACCCGGGGGGGTGAGGGGGTCGAGGAGGTTGCTATACCCTGTCTCGCCAGGAGAAGGCGGTAACAGCAAGTGGACTAATCGCCATCTGTCTCCATCTGTTCGGGGATGGAATGTTGCCCCCCTCGCACGAGGCGTGGGCTTTCTCCGCGTGCTCCGGTTTTCCTGCCACGTGTACAATGAGCGCATTCATTGGCTGAAAACATCTTAGAATAAAAAAAAACCCAGTCCAGCAGTACCCTCCTGGAAAAAGAGTCCTACAGCTCAGTGTGTGGCTCTCCTAAATAAATAATTCATCTCATTCGCGAGTGGGGTGGGCGAGACGCGGCGTGGCTGTGCCCCAAATCGCGCCGTCGTGAAATCTGAAATGAGAACCCAACTTGACGAGGGGCAGCCTGGCAGATTTCCAAGGCGGAGGGGGTGAGGGGGGGAGCTCGGGGTAGGGGACAGGATCAGTGGCAAAGGCGTTAGGGGTAGGGTCAGTAATACTGGCTGGTTGGTTAGGTTAGCTGGTTGGTGTCAATGCGGGAGGGGTAATGCCAGTGTCCGGTTGGCTTTCCGGAGAGCCTCAGTAGATGGGGGCTCAGCCGTTGCCCGGCGCGGGGTTTTGGCCGCGTGCGGCTCCTGGCGGCTCGCTCCGCCAAGTCGCACTGTACACGCCGCCAGGGCTGCCAATTCCTGGAGATCTCCTCTCCCATACTCCCTTCCTCTCTCCCGTCCTCTCTCCTCTCTCCCATCCTTTCGTTTTTACTTTTACGATCAGTGGAAACAAGAAGATGCTCGGTGTAGTCGGCACTTTGCTTCGTTCATCTTTTCGTTTTTTTTGTTATTTATTTTCAATGCTTTGCTTTATGTGCCCCCCCCCCCTACTCTCTACTCTCCCTCTCTCTCATCCTTTCCTCTCTCCTCTCTCTTCCTCTCTCCCCTCCTCTCTTTTTCTCCTCTCCCCTCCTCTGCCATCTTTCACTCCTCTCCTAGCTTCACACTTTCTCACTTCTCTCTCCTCCTCCTCCTCTACCATTCCCCTCCTCCTCTTCTCTCCCTGCCGCCACGTCCTTCACTCGCTCTCTGTCTCCGTGTTTACAGATCTCCGCACGATTAAACGCGGATGCTGTGTTTGGGCGCTCGTGATGCCTTCTAATGCGGATGGTTGGATGCCGGGGTCATGAATGTGAGCCACGGGGGTCAAACACACGGCCACCATCGTTTCCCCTTGGGGTTGTGGAGTTGGGGGTGGCATTTTGTGTGTGTGTGCGTCTGCACGCGTGCAAACGTATACCGGGAACTGGGCTTCCTCGCTCGCCTAGGTCGACTCGGCCGTTAAACGCGTACCTGGCGCGGTGTGTAAACATCGGGCACTGGGGAGATAAAAAGACGGCCGGGCGTGGTGTTGGCCGCCCACCCCTCCCTCGCGTGCTGTGCCCGCCTTAGTCGGTGCTCATGAACAGCACTCGCCCCAAACAGTCTGTTCGAGGCTACATGGGCGATCTTTATTGTGGTTGGGAGCGGTGGCGCAGGGGCTGGCAAAATGCCCCCCTACCGAAGCCGCCGATTCTCATTCCCCGGCCACGGTACTGACGCGCGCACTCGCACGCGGGACTTGATGCACCACCACCAGCGCCATCCCGATGCGGATCAAAAATTCCGTTCGTCCGGGTACGTCGGACACCGCGCTGTCCTGTGAGCATATCTCCCTCGTCAAGTGTATTCCATTCATTCCGCGGACGACGGCGGTCCCGTTCAGCCGGTCGCCCGGATATTTCACACACGGGGCGATCCGCGGTGCCGCGTGTGCGCGGTTGGCTGCGTACAGTGCGAAATAAGTTCAACATACATACGAAGCTGGACATACAGCGGCAACAACGAGACAAAGACGTCAATATTGCAGAGAACGAGTACAGCGGTCCTTAAGAAAGGTGGACCACATTGTTACTTTATAATTGGTCGACTATGGCCCAAGTCAAAGAGCCAGGTTGTGATTATGATAATCATCGCACACGTTTGATGATGCTGATGATGATGCTGCTTTTGCAGCTGTCACCGGATCGCGCGCTTTCAGATGTGCTTCTGTGGCTGTCTGGAACGCTCTTCCTTCCGATGTTAGGAAGCCAATAGAGCTATGCACCTTCAAATTTTGAAAACTTTTTTTTTATTAATTTTTGTGTTAGTTTGTTGTCCTTCCCCCACACCTCCGATGAGCACGGTTGGCTATGTACGGTGCAAAAGAAGTTCAACATACACACGTAGCTAGTGCTGCTTTCATTATTTGTTTCTTATCAAAGCATCTCACGTGTAAAATCCCTCAAGGTGGAACATCTCATTTGCAAGAGTGTTCAGGGTGTGAAATGACGCACGCGTAGCGATGCTCCGGCACTGCCGGGAGCGATGGCACTGCCGCCGGTTCTGCCCGAGTTTGAACTGACGTTGCTGCCGATGCTACCGATGTTGTTGCCGGGTGATACAAGCGCCGCTGCTGGTTGCCGTGTGTCTCCTAGGCCGTGCCTCGGGCCCGCTTTCCTGAGCTGCGTGCGCCGCCCTCCCCCGCGTTGTCCCTTCTCGCCCAGGAGAAGCGGCAGAAGCGTATGGCCACAGAGCCCTCGGGGGTCCGGTTCCGGCCTCGCCGTTCCGTCTCCAGGCCGCCGTCGGCGTCGCTCGGCACTCCGCCACCACCTCCCGACGACGACGACAATGACGCCGACGACGACGAAGACGACGACGACGACGACGTCACGGTAGTAAACCCCGTGCCAAAGCAGCCGCCGTCACCGCCAGATTCAGACGCCTTCCCGGAGGACGCGGGGCGCCCGCCCGATCCCGCGGAGTGCCGTCGTCCGGAGCGACCGCGAGAACGGTCGCGCGTCACTTCGTCGGCGCTGCCCTCCCAGCTGCTGCTGATGAGAGCGCAGATCGATTTTCCACCTCCTGCTCCTCCTGCTGCCGCCGCTGGTAGCGCCGGCGCGTCTGTCGGTGCTTCCGCACCGACAGTTCCTCCCTGCGATCTCCGCGAGGGGGAGCTGCCCCACGTGCGCACGGCGACGCGCGCTGGCAAGCCGTCTCCTGCGCCTCCTCCGCTCCTCCCGCCGCTCGCTCCGCCGCTGCTGGTGCTCAAGCGCGACTCCTCCTCCCCGCCGCCCGTGACGCCGGCGCCGTGCCTCCCGCCGTCGGAGGCGCCCCTGCTGCCCATCGCGGCGAAGCTGGAGTTCCCCCTGCCCGGCGAGGCACCCGCACCGCCGACCCCCGACCTCGTGTTGCTCGTCCCGTCCAAGAAGCTGTCGCCCTCCCCCAGCGATGGCAAGGCGGCGAGGGCCGAGCTCTCGCCGCCGCCGACGCTGCCGCTGGCAAAACCCGACGGCAATCGGCCTCGCCTGCCCACGTGTCTCCTCCCGGCCGCCGTCAAAACCGCCGCCGGCGCCAGGAAAATATCGGTGCCCTCTCTGAAGCCGAAGCCCCGGGCGGTCGCGCTGTCGGATGACGACGACGACGGCGATGACGACGACGATGGGGCTGACACGGACGACGGTGACGCGGAGGACGAGGAGGACGCGGCGGTGGAGGTGATCTCGGACGTGAGCGACGTGCTGGTCCCGCCAAGGGGCAGTCCCGACGTGGAGCCGCTCAGGGATTCGGATGGCTCGGCCGCCCCAGATGCCGAGAATGCGGAGCGCGATGCGGCCAAAACTCCTGGAGAACAGCAGGTGCCGGTGGGCACCAGGGTGGCGGGCACAGGGGTCACAGGCATGGGGGGCACGGGCACGGGCTCAGGGAAATGGGCACAGGGAGGCAGACATGAGGAGGCAGACACGGTGGGTGGGCGTGGGGAGGCGGGCATGGGGTGGTGGACACGGGGGGTGGGCACAGGGGATTGGGCACGGTGTGGTGGGCATGGGGAGCCGGGCACGGGGGGGGGGGGGGGGGGGGGCATGGGTTGGGGGCACGGGGAGGCAGGCAAGTGGAGCTGGGCACGGGAACCTGGGCACCGGGACAGACACGCACACCACGCGTACCCGTTCATACCCATGCATACCCTTACCCGTGCGTACACGTTTAGCCCCAGCGGTCTATTGAAGGCCGTACAGGGGTGATGTTTTGTCTTTGTTATCCCGCGTGCGTGCGAGCAGCCGCAGGAGCGCGGCTTCGCTGTGGGCGAGCTCGTGTGGGGCAAGATCCGCGGCTTCTCGTGGTGGCCTGGCGTCCTCGTGTCCTGGGAGGACACGGGCCAGTGCTGCGCCGCCGAGGACACGCGCTGGGTCTGCTGGTTCGGGGACTGCAAGTTCTCGCTGGTGAGGTCGCGCGGTGGCTGTGGCCGGCGGGTGTTGGGGCGGCTCGGTTAGTCCTGAAATAAATTGGCTGAAACGTGAATAGGCAACGGGTGTGTTTAATCACCACGCTGCCGGTCGCAACGCCGCTCTGTCCGCTTTTCCCTCCTCCCGTCGTCTGTTCGTCCCAAGCTCTGACAACCTTGCTCAATTCAAAGAAACGCATTCACTGCTTTTCGTATTTCGTTTAATGTCCTACCACCCGCACCTCCGATTAGCACGGTTGGCTACGTACGGTGCGAACGAAGTTCAACATACACACAGTATACACAACTTGTTGCCTCTTGTACCTTCGTCGGTGCTGTTTGTTGCTGCCCGCTTGGCACTTTGGGGCCTCTAGGGCCCTGTGCTCAGCAAAAAAAGAGAACTGGCAAGGTGGCACCGCTGACCCCACCCCCCCACCTCTCCTTCCGTCCCCTCCACGCAGGTGGCCGTGGACAAGCTCATGCCATTCAGCCACTTCAAGGAGAACTTCAACCAGCAGACCTATGCCAAGAAGCTGGTCTACAGGAAGGCCATTTACCAGGCCCTGCAGGTGACCTCCCCACGATGGCTGGACACACTCGCGGGAGCTCGCTCGCTCGCTATCCTATCGCTACTCCCGTGCTTACTGCATCCGTGAACTTCACGCACAGATTCGCTGGAGTCACTCGCTCACCGTGCGGGTGGTCAATTTGCCTCATGGGTGGAAAAAACCCGATTTTTCCAGCGGGAATTAAAACCTGGTTTAATGAATACGAAACTCTGATCCACAAGGCTTAAGATGCTTCCTCGTCGGTGCGGCTATCGTACTCGGGGCCGTGGGGCACAGGGTAGTCGTAGAATGCGGCGGGCAGGTTGGTCTTGATCAGGGGTCGGCAACCAAAATAACAAGAAGAGCCATTTCTTTCCAAATTCGGTACAAAATTCAGTATTTCAAGAGCCGCAATGCATCTGAGTACATACTGTACTCATCGTCAAGAAGCAGCATGTAAAGAGCCGCATGCGGCTCCGGAGCCGTAGGATTGGCGACCCCTGGTCTTGATGAACACGAGCTTCTCCACAATCGTGGGTGACAGTGAGTTCCTTAGCTTGGAATGGATGAAGCCCATCGTTGAGAAGTTGGCGAGTGCGGTTCTGCAATTAGAACCAATTAAACCGGATTTCTCCCAATCTCAGATGATCGGGTTTAATATTAAAAGACAATTAAACCCGATTGTAAAAAACCCGACTGTGCCACCCTTGATTTGCCTCCTTAGCACTCTCATACCGCTACTAACGTGCCCATGAATTTCACTCTCCTATTCGCGCCAGTAACTTTGGTCTGTGTCATTTCGGCGGCCCGGGTCACCCTTGCAAATGATACGATCCTCGTCTCCCGAGTTACCACCCGGTTATTAAAACCAAATTAACTTGAGATGAATTCCACCCCCCCCCCCCCACGCGCTCAGGTGGCGAGCCAGCGTGTCAACAAGGTGTTCCCGCAGCCGGAGGAGAGCGACACGGAGCCCGGGCTCTCGTTGGAGGAGCGCATCTCTCCCATGATGCACTGGGCCATGAGCGACTTCCCCCCCAAGGGAGCCAAGGGGCTCGTCCCTCTGCCCGGTGAGATGGCACGAGCGTGGTGCCCTCGCGGCACGGTACGGTCGGTTTTCCGTTGGCTCTTTACCGAGGCGACCCGGAACGAAACCGTGCTACACCGGCCTCTCTGGTTAGGCGTTTGTTGATTAATTCACGTGCCCAGTATCGCGGAGTGAATTCACTCGTTCATTACCCTGCCGAGTGAGATGTGCGACCGTATGGTGTGAGATCGTGGGGTATACCCCCGAGGGCAGATTGCTTTGTTATTTGGACTCTGGGGTACACGATTCTATTACAGAAACATGACTCCTCCCGCGGAGACATTCCCACCCGGGGTCAGAATATGTCTGTACGTAGAACTTATTTCGCACTGTACATAGCCAGCCGTGCAAATTGGAGACGTGGGGGAAGGACAAGAAACTAAATACAAAAAAGCAGTTCGAAAGAAATTAGTTTTCAATTTAGATTTAAAAGTGCATAGCTCTCAGTGGCTTCCTAATATCGGAAGGAAGAGCGTTCCAGACGGCCGCAGAAGCGCACCTGCAAGCGCGCGTCGATTGTAGTTGTCGTATGGAAATACTCGCCCCCGTCAGAGGAATGTGGAACATCCACCGCTGGCTCAGAGCTGTGACCAGGATTGTGGGCGCTGTCTCAATGCTCGTTGGAGCGGGAAATCAGCTCGACTTGTTTAGACAAGTACTACGAGAGGAAATTTCGCTCGTAGGTTTCCGCGGTCAATGTTACGTCACGGCCAATTGGTAAATGTTCTCTCTGACTCTCCAAGACACCGGCATTGCTTCTGAAGCAGTCTTCATCCTCCTCCTCCTCCTTTCGTGTGGCTCATGTAGATACAGTTTCACATTCAGGTGGTCGAGGCAGACAGCCGCGTCAGCAGGAGCGGAGTAGTGCATCGCTGCGATGTCTCCTTCGTATTTGTGGATTGAGCAGTAATAAATCAGCACGTCTGTTCACGTGGCAACTTTGTTAATTGCCCGCGTCGGGCGGAGGAGGGTTAACGGCGCACATTTTGCTCCGCTTCCAGGGTCAGAATAACGGCCAGGCTCAGAATTCAACAGGCCACAGTGGTGGGCTGAGTGGCTGGCAGGGGTGGAAGGGTAGTGTTTAAATAACCTATAGCGTTCTGACCCCGGGATCAGAATTCTACGGGGGTCAAAATCCTTTCTCGCGCCATCCCCGCAGAGGAGCTGGAGTCGAGCAAGCGCAAGCTGCAGGAGATCCACCTCTTCGCTGAAGAGAAGCGTCGCTCCGCCAAGCGCCAGAAGCTGTGCGCCGCCATCGAGTCGTTCGCCCTGCTGCCTCGAGGTGAGGGGGGCCCTGCCCCGCCCCGCTCCCCTCGCCCCCACCCTACCCCCCCACACTACCCCCCCCCCACCGCCCCACTCTGCCCCCCGCCACCCCCCGCCCTGCCCAACCTGACCGCCCCCTGCCCTGCACCCCGCCCTGCCCCGCCCCACCCTGCCCCCCCTGTCCCGAGCTGAGCCAGCTCCACGTCCTCCCGGTACGGGTGCTTTTTCCACTGGCCGTTTGCTGAGCCGAGCCAGAACCAAACTCAAACCGTGCTACGCTGGCCTCGCAAATCTGAAGCTGGCGCGGGGCCAGGATAGAGTCTCGTTTGCCCGAGTGCCCTGGAGCACCAAAGTAAGAAAAGCAAAACAAATTAATTACAGAAATGATGGGAATAGAAATCGGAGCAAAAGCAACTGCTGTGCCGCTTGAGAAATTAAAAATATTGCACGAACGTAACGCAGTGTTAATTCATAAATTCCCTGGAGGGCAAGCCGGCTCGGAAAGCTTATTTTAGCCCGATCACAATACAATTACAGTGTTAATTTACAAAAATGTTAAACTCATTTAGATGATGGGGTGACTATTGTACTAATACAATTTGTGTACACTCACCGCATGAGGGTTCACAGAGACCTCTGCGACTGACTGTATACTCTGTAGCGGCTGAGTCTGCTGCTTGTTCCCTGTGTCTACAGAACAGATCATACAGGAGGTGCAGGAGGACATCCGGACTATTGAGGGTGAGAATGAGCCCCCCCCCCGTCACAATGGGCCACACAGAGCCCCCCACAACCTCCCAGCAGTGCCGCATTAAGCTAGTGCGGGGCCTGTAGCATATGTTATGAAGGGGCCCTAAAAAAAAAAAAACACGTAAATATTACAACACAAATGTTTTACTTGCATAGTAAAGTAATTGTATTTTTTCATTTGCTATACAGCCAGATAATACGACAAATCGCTAACCTTAAACACCCAGTCGTTCATAAAAGTTGAAGGCAGTATAGTACTATAGTAATAGAGCAAGTGCAGAATCACTGAACCGAAACTGATAGCTTGAAAGCATTTAGCGCGGGGCCCTTGAAAGTGCGGGGCCCGTAGCTACATATGTAGCTACTTTTGCTACTAGTGTAATAAGAGCCTATGTCCGGCTCACGTGGTGATCAGCTCTGCCGGTCCTGCTTTACAGCCAATGGGGGGAGAGCCTGGGAGCATGGCCTTGGCATGATCGAGGGGTGCCAGCTAGGGTGATTGGTTCTGCTGGTTTTGGCCTCAGCCAATGGGAAGACAAGTCAGGGGCGTGGTCCCGGGAGTTGATGGGGAATCTAGAAGATTCGGCGCAGGCTACCAAGGATTGGCTGGAGCGTACCACGTGACCCGGGCATTCAATAAGGGGAGAGATGAACGACACGTGGTCAGACGAAGAACGAAGGAAGAGAGGGGCCACGCGCGAGCGGGGCTCCGAGTGCCACGTGGCGGTGCGTCTCTTGTGGTCTATCTGCCCACTTCCCGTTGCCTGCCAGCAGCGGGGAGTACTTGTGAACTGGAATAAATAAAAGGACAGATTCCACAAGTCGTCTCCAAGAGTATTATTACACTAGGATAATCCGGCACTGCCTCCTAGCCAACGACTTTAGGGGCAGCATAGCTTGCGAAGTGCGGTGGCCAGGCAGGGTGCAGCCTAGAGAGTTTCAGGAATCTTTCATCTTCATTGAGACTGAAGGAATACGATGAGCTGCGTAGCTCGATTTTCACAGATGTCACAGTTTCTCGCAGGTGTCCAGTAGTAAAAACACTCAATACGCTGCCGTGTCAAATCCACCGGCCGCTTTTAAGAGGCGTTTGAAGGCTGTCTGCTGCATCGGGCCTATGAGGAAGCCTGAGCCTGGCTCGACGCTCCCGAGTTGCGGCTGGATTTTGTCTCCTTGTAATTTCGTGAAAATGTGTGCCTTATAAATAGATTTTAAATGATTTACTACTGTTAAAATTAATCCATGCCTCGAGTGTCCTGGCTGGCTGCTGGCTGGGCTCCCGACGATAACTCCATTGTGAGTGGCTGCGGGGCCGTTGCCGTTGCCACCAAAACTAGCTGGGTAGCTGGCTACATGGTATTTTTCTTGTAAGAAAAAAACCCACTGAATTATACTGAAACAGTGGAGTAGTAAGTTCGGAAAAGACGTTTAACACTTGGAGACACCAAAGAGGTGGCAGCGACGATTGCAGAGGACCGACACGGTTCGTTTGAAATCGCTCGAACTTTTAATTTGTCCTCCGATGCCGGCGTTGGGTCCGGGAGCCGGCCGGCCGGCCGGCCGAGCGTGGACGACGCGGCAGAAACCGAACGCGGGCGACGAGGCGACGTGTTTAATGATTCATCGTCGTGCGCCCCGTGTCCCCCTCGCAGAGATCTGCCTGTCGTGCGGCAGCCCTCGTATCTGTGCCCAGCACCCGCTGTTCGAGGGAGGGATCTGCCAGAGCTGTCAGGTGAAGAGACGGCACCTTGCCAGTGCACCTCACCATTCCTCGCCAGTTCCCGGCGTCACTTCTCACCTGCGCACCTCACCGTTCCTCGCCAGTACCCCTGACAATTCCTCGGCGGTACACCTCACCACACATTATCACTCCTCACCATAGCTCACCCAATGCCCGTCACCACCAAAGTCCATGTAAAATGTTGTACTGAGCATTGTGCTGTGTCGGTGGCTGTGTGATGTGACGCTGGCTGTGTGGGGTGTGTGGTGTGACACTGTCTGTGTGGGTGCCCGCTCAGATCACCTTCATGGAGTGTGCGTACCAGTATGACGATGATGGGTACCAGTCCTACTGCTCCATCTGCTGTGGCGGTCGAGAGGTGTTGATGTGCGGGAACATCAACTGCTTCCGGTGTGTGACGCACACTCGCTCACGCACACACTCGCTCACATGCTCACTCGCTCGCTCACTCACTCGCACACGCGCTCGGTCACTCGCTCGCTCACTCACTCGCTCGCTCGAACACTTGCTCACACACTCGCTCACATGCTCATTCACTCGCTCGCTCACTCACTCGCACACTCACTCACACTCGCTTCCTCATACGCTCGCTCAGACGCTCGCTCAAATTCACTCACTCGCTCACACTCACACACTCACTCGCTCACTCGTACACACACTAGCACACTCACTTACACAACGATCCCTCGTCGAGTGAGCGCACACGATCACTGCATCGCTCGCTTTCAGACGCTCTTCCGTTCCGATATTAGGAAGCCACTGGAGCTATGCACTTTTAAATCTAGATTTAAAACTTGTGATTTTTGTATTGAGTTTGTTGTCCTTCCCCTGCACCTCCGATTAGCACGGTTTGCTATGTACGGCACGAAAGAAGTTCAACATACACACGTGTCGCCTTAACAGTCTGTTGGGGCAAGCGCTATTAGCAAGCATCTATGAAAGGCGTCATGGCATACAGAGGGGTGGGTGGCCAGCACCACGCTTGGCCACCTGTGTGTCCCCAGTGGCGATGTTCACACATCGCACCAGGCACGCATCAAATCAGTAACCCAATCCTCAACCCGAGCCTTTTCAGTTATCCTGTCTCCCTAAGCCCAAACCTATTCCACATCCCAACCTAATCCTCTCCCCAAGCCCAAGTCTATTCCTATCTTAATCCCATGCTTACCCTAACCCCAACCCTAACCCCGACGCTATGCCTAACCCTATCTCCAACCCAGACCCTAACCCCAACCATGTTCTTAAACCTATCCTTCAGCCTAACCCGAGCCCCACACACGATCCCTAATCCCAACCCCATCTATCCCGTTGTTCTTGCGCACTTCGTTACGGCGTGCCCACTCACACTCCCATTGCATCGCCCCACCCGGGCCCCCCCCAAAAACAATTCTAATTTCAGTGTTGCCTTCAATAGGAGCAGCAGCAGTAGCAGCTGCAGCGCTGGTTGCGTTGACAGTGGCGCTGTGCGTCACGTGCGTGGATGTGTGTGTGTGTGTACGTGTGCGTACGTGTGTGTACGTGTGTGTGTGGTGCTGGGGGGAGCGGTGGTGTAGCGGTTAGCATGCTGCGCTACGAACCCGGCGACCCGAGTTCGATTCCTGCTCACGGCCACCAACACCGGTGACGATTATCTGAACTGGTCTTGGGCCTCCCCTAGGTCGACTCGGCCTCAAATGAGAACCCGGCATGGTGTGTAAACATCACCACCGGGGAGACAAAGGGCGGCCGGGCGTGGCGTTGGCCACCCATCCCCTCGTGTGCCGTGCCGGCCTTCATAGGTGCTGCTCGCTAACAGATCGTTGCCGGGTTGCAGGTGCTTCTGCGTGGAGTGCGTGGATCTGCTTGTCGGCTCCGGCACGGCCAAGACGGCCATCGAGGAGGAGCCGTGGCGCTGCTTCATGTGCCGGCCCTCGCTGGCCACCTGCGGCCTCCTCAACCCGCGGCCCGACTGGCCCGCTCGCCTCCAGCACCTCTTCTCCAACACCCACAGCCAGGAGTTTGTGAGGAGCGCACCCGGAGTTTTGAACGACGGATTTGTCCGCGAGCGTTTTGGTCGCTCGGACGCCACTCTCGTAGGTAGCTCGGGGTGGGGGGGGGGGCTGATCACGACGGCGGGGGTGCTGCGTTTCACGGACGGGTATAGCCCACAGGAGTTTTGGCGGCGTGATTCTACCCATCGGGGTAATTCGAGAGCAGTTTTCAACGTTGGGCACAGTTGGACCGTCACGCCGGCACGGCGTTTACCAGGGCGGCCGTGTGGCCCGAACCGCGGACCTCTACAATGAGCGGCCAAAAACGCGCCACCCCGCAAGGCCGCGTCACCGCCCGTGAACAAGCGCGCCGCCGCGGGCATCCTCGAGATGCACGGACGCCGTTTTCCGTCGTCGCGTGCTTCTAACCGTCCCGGCTGGGAGCAGTATCGGCAACGAACGCGAACCGCATTGCGGGACCCCCATCCCGCCGCAGGCACGATGGGACCGACGGACCCACGGATTGGTCGACATCAACGAATCTCTGCGCTTGCTCAGATATCCGTGTAACCCCGTGCCCCCTTTGAGCTCCGTGCGGTGCCGCTGACCCCTTGCGTTGACCGCGAGCGGGTGGCACCAATCCCACATGTGTGCGGTGGGACCTTGTCGCCGTGTGCTGGGCACCGCATCGGCAGGAGTGAGCGGAGCGCTTGTGTGCAGGGGCTGGGGTGGGTGTGAGGGGACAGCCATGCCGTTCTGTGCCTCCTCCCATCACCTCTCTCCTGCTCTGTTCTTCTCCACTCTTCTTCATTCTCCTCCCCACTCCTCCCCCGTTCCTTCCCTCCCCGCGTCTCCCAGGAGCCCCCGAAGCTGTACCCACCAATCACGCCAGACCACCGCAGGCCGATCAAAGTGCTGTCCCTCTTTGATGGGATTGCCACAGGTACGACGCAGTTAAGGCCTCGAGTTATATTGTCGCCTTGTGACAATGTTGGCACCGGCTTGGTGGATTTACAGTTGAGACGTGTGACGTCTGTGCACTGCTTGTAGTGTACGAGGTGGTATTTACCGCACTGCGCTACGAACTCGGTGACACGAGTTCGATTTATGCTCGCGAACGACAACAGTGGCGGATATTTGAACCAATCTTGGGTCTCCCCTAGGTCTACTTGGCCCTAAATAAGTGGCTGGTGCGGTGTGTCAACCTCAGCACTGGGGAGACAGAGGCGGCCGCATACCCTCTCGTGTGCCGTGCCGACCTTCGTGGGCGCTCGCTAACAGCACTTTCCCCAACATTCTAGTAAGGGCTACAAGGGAGGGGCATCTTCGCCTGCGTCTTACACGCGGGTGCGTGTGGCAGGGCTGCTGGTGCTTAAGGAACTGGGGATCCGCGTGGAGCGCTACGTCGCCTCCGAGGTTTGCCAGGACTCCATCAACGTGGGAACCGTGCGGCACGCCGGAGACATCACCTACATCGGGGACATCCGCAACCTCACCTACAGCAACGTGCGGCGACACACCGCCACCACGCCACCCGCACCGACCCCGCCGCCACCGCCACGCAAACGCCTATTGCATCACCGTACCGCCCGCATACATTCCACCACCGCGCCCCCCACACCACCACACTCATTCCACCGCGGGTTCTCGGTGTGTGCTCGCTCACCGCGGGTTCTCGGTGTGTGCTCGCTCACCGTGTGCTCGCGTCCGCAGCTGCAGAAGTGGGGCCCGTTCGACTTGGTGATCGGCGGCAGCCCTTGCAGCGACCTCTCCATTGTCAACCCCGCGCGCAAGGGTCCTCTACGGTGAGACACCCTCGGCAGCACCACGTGGAATAGCCACGGCAGATGTAACGGGACAAGGAGTGTCTTGTGTGTGTTGCGTGTGTGTGCGGAACAGTAGCGTAGCGTTTAGTGCGCTGCGCTACCAACCCGGCGTCCCAAGTTCGATTCCTGCTCCCAGTCAACGTCGGTGACGAATATATTTGAACCAGTCCTGGGTCTCCCCTAGGTCAACTTGGCTTAAAATGGAGAATTAATAATAATAATTGACATTTATTCGTAAGGCGCCTTTCACTAATGTCTCAAGGCACCCGGTACGGTGCAGTGTGTGAAAAACATCGCCACTAGGGAGACAAATGAATGAACTTGGCCACCCACCCTCTTGTGTGCCATGCCAGCCTTCAAAGATGTTCGCTAACGGCATTCTCCCCAACAGTCTGTTAATATTGGAGACCTTTGTCTTTTGAGCAGTAGTGTAACGGTTGGTGCGCTGCACTACCCAACCCGGTGACCCGAATTCGATTCCCGCTCACAGCCGACAACAGTGACGATTATCTGAACCAGTCTCCCCTAGGTCGACTCAGCCTCAAATTAGTACCTGGTGCGGCGTGCCAACATCATCACGAGGGAGACTAAGACGACTGGCCGGGCGTGATCTTGGCTCCGTGTGCCGTGTCGGCCTTCATAGGCGCTCGCTAACGGCGCTTGCCCCAGATAGTCTGTTAAAGGCTTTTGCGTGTGTCGGCGTGGCCGGCGCAGAGGGCACGGGGCGACTCTTCTTCGAGTACTACCGGCTGATGAACGAGGCGAAGCCACGCGAGGGTGAGGAGCGGATCTTCTTCTGGCTCTTCGAGAACGTCGCCGCCATGGGCAACAACGACAAGCGCGACATCTCCCGCTTCCTCGAGGTGCGTGCGGAGGCGGGGGGGGGGGGGGGGGCGGGAGACTGGAGTGTCCCTGCTGGAACATAATGGGCGAAGGAGGTCCCTGTATATATGTGTGGAGCAATCGTCATTGAGAGCTAGGGCCTAACCCTAATGACCCCAAGCCTATGAACAAATCGCGGGGTTGAGCCACAGAACAAAACAGGGGTTTGTACTGTACTATGGTTTACTAAAACTATTTTATTTCACAAGGTAAGGGCCACTGACCTGGCCACAATTGATAGCTCGATGAAGTGGCTTATCACGTGGACATTTACAGCAGCCAAACACTCTAAAAGCATGCTTCTAAATGTGGAGGGAAAAACCGGAGGACCCGGAGAAAAATCCACGCGACCACGGGGAGAGAGAAAAATGCCAGCTCCAAATATAACGTCGTCAGGGTCGGGATCGAACCCACGACCTCCTGCATACCAGGCGAGGTAGTTAACATCTCGCCAGCATCTATGCTACCCGCGTATCGCCCGACCAGCCCTGACCCAGCGTGGTGAAGTATGATCAAATTAGCCGCGCAACCCGCGGAGATGCGCGGGGACGCCCACATCCAGCGGTGGAATGACAGAAAGGTGACTGTACGTCGTCATTACGTGCAGGGTGGATGCAGACGGTGACGACTGTGGTTGCTTCCGGTGTTGTTCTCATTCTGCTGCAGTGCAACCCAGTTATGATCGATGCCAAAGATATCTCAGCCGCCCATCGCGCCCGCTACTTCTGGGGGAATCTTCCGGGCATGAACAGGCAAGTTGTAAAAGGCCACCCCTTTGCCAGCGTCTGCCGGAGCACGCGTTGTTGTGGTGCATTGTGGGTAAATATATGCAAAAGCTGAAATGAATTCTGTTTCTCAAAGCATAATCAGAAAATATGATTTTGCCCATTTGGCAGTTGGCTTTTGAGACCAGAGTGTTTAACAAGCCTGACTCAGCTGTTGAAACTCAGAAAGTCGAAACCGGTTCAGCATTTGCCTGCTTAAACAAAAGCTCCTCATGCAAACACATTAATCTCAAAAGCCACTAGGGTTAGGAGTAAAGCGTATTTTTGTGTATAGCTTGGCACGAAGCACCTTAGTGATGTCTCCATGACTTATGAACGAAAGGCGGCCGGTTGTTGTTGTTGGTGCATGTGTGCGGGGTGTGCAATTCGTATGGTGTGTGCCGGTGGCCTGCGTGCCTGACTGCGTGCCTGACTGCGTGCGTGCGTCACGTAGACCCCTGGCGGTCACTGCGGTGGACAAGCTGGAGCTGCAGGACTGCCTGGAGCACGGCCGCACGGCCAGGGTACGGCCACAACCCCCTGAGAGATATGCACATACAGAGAGACGTAGAAACACCTCCGATTAGCACGGTTGGCTATGTACGGTGTGAAAGAAGTTCTATATACAGAGATATGTAGCTACAGAGACACGCAGATACATACAGACAGACACAGATACATACAGAGAGACTTACACACATAGATAGAGACATAGATAAAGAGAGAGAGAGGCAGATGGAGAGAAAGACAACAGAGAAAGAGGGACACGGAGAGAGCAAGGCACATCATTTTTCATGAGGGTGGGGAATCCAAGCACTTGGGCACCTGCCATTCACAGGCACGCGTTGTTGTGCGTGCATGCTGGGTAACGACGGCGTGGACAACGAGGCGGCGAGGACTCCGTCTCGATCCTCTCCCCTGTCCGCCCGTTGCCGTCCTCAGTTCAGCAAGATCCGGACCATCACCACACGCTCCAACTCCATCAAGCAGGGCAAGGACCAGCACTTCCCGGTGATGATGAACGGTCGGGAGGACATCCTGTGGAGCACCGAGATGGAGAGGTGAGAGTCTTGGCAAGACGCAGGGGCGCCCGGTGCTAGCCTGCACCGGGACCCTCTGTCCACCTCGGGCGTTGATGCCGTCGCCAGACGGAGCCGTACCAAGTCGTCGTTTTTGTTCATCCAGGGCGTATCCTAACGGAGACGTTAACCCTGGCCACAGCGCTCTTGTCATCCGAGTAAACGTGGAACGTTGGGTCAATGTTGGTTCGTCCAGTGGTTCCAACCGCATGCAGAGGCTGGCACAGCGTTGAATGTCTCCGGGGACGTGTTCTCGTAATTACAGGTTTCCCTCGCTTTACGCAGGTTCGGTTGTGTGTGATTTAGGCAGATTTGAAACACGCTCGGACCAATACTTCTGCCGTGGCTGATCATTATTTTAATCCGGCTGGCTCACACGAAATAGATTTCTCTAAGACGATGGTACTTTGCAAGCCCACTGGCTATTCAACAAAGATTCGTTCATGTGCTCCCCGATTAAGAACCAGGCTACAGTCTACATTTGTGTTTTTTATTTAAATTTTTTTTATTTTTGTTCACTTTATTTTTTTTATTTTCTATCTACGTGACATTACCCAAAGAACACAATAGCTTGTTTCAATCGTATTAATAATATATTAATATTATTACGATTATTGAATTTCCGACCATTTGAAGACTGAACCGTTTGACCGGCGGTGGCGCCCGCTCGCGCGTGCAGGATCTTCGGCTTCCCCGTGCACTACACGGACGTGTCCAACATGAGCCGCATCTCGCGCCAGCGGCTGCTCGGCCGCTCGTGGAGCGTGCCCGTCATCCGCCACCTCTTCGCCCCGCTCAAGGACTACTTCGCCTGCACGTCTTGAGCGTCTCGAGTGGACGTCGCGCTCCATTCCGCCCCACGACGGCCCCCTCCGCGGTTAACCCGGGCCGCGCGCGTGCGTGGTGTTGGGTGGACGAGCGGAGGAAGGGGGGGGGGGGTTGCCCAGCCCGTCAAAGTTCTCCGTGGCCTCCGCGGCCACCACCGGCCCCCCACTGCCCCCCTCCACCCCCCCTCTCTCACCCACCCCACGCCGCCACCGGCCATCAGTCGCCGACGTGCCGTGTTGAGCGTGGTTCGGGGCCGCCCGTTTTTTGTCGAAGGGGAGACCAGGCCCCAGGTAGGCTTCGTGCAATAGCTGAGTTCGTTCGGCCGACGTGAGTTTGTGCAATCTGCATTTACGGAGAGCACGAGTCGAGTCTGAGAGGATTGATCGGCAGCGTGGAATGGAATGGAGCTCAATTCCTGCTTAAACGTTACAGATCGTTGCGAATGAAGGACATTTTCAAACGCACGGGTGTATTTGAAATGATCTAAAGGAGGACAAAAAAATAGTAATTGCGAGGACCTTTAAAGAATAAAAATGTGGTGTTCCCCAGGGTTCCGGTACAAGATGAGTGGCATTTGGTGGGGCTCTGCGCCACCAAATGCCACTTTGGCCCCCCAAGTTCACTCCCCTGCGCGGTGCATCACTGTTATGGTGTGGCCCCTCCACACAGCCGCTCTACTGAGCCCCCCCCCCCCCGGTCGAAGTTGAAGCAGGCCCTGTCTCTTGCAGGTGAGGCCGTGTGTTGAGTATTTAGTTTTTTTTTCAAGCTTTCGCCAACGCACTACTGGGGGGGAGGGGGGGGGGAGCATCTTCAGGCGAGTTGAAGATGCCCTGAGCAGTGCGCGGCTCAGCTTGCAAGCTTGTGGGACCTCCTCGGTTATTGAAGGGGGAACGGTTGAAGAAGCCAGCAGTAGTGCGTGGAGAAAGCTCGAGGGAAGAAACGCTCGCGACACGGCCCTCACCTGCAAAGCCGTGCCCAGGATTATGCGTCGCTTCTAAAAGCAACGTCTGCGCCGTTTAAAAATAACCAATCGCTCAGAGTTTTATCGACAACTTACGAGTTGTCAGGACCACCCGTGAGTCGATCGTCGCCGGTAACAATTATCAACACTAAATAAGTAATGACAGGGTTAATAATTAATTCGTTTCGTCATTAGCATCATCAAGACTACTGGACATCGTCATGCTTACCTGAGCCACGTAACGGCTGCAGTGCGAGCCATTGATGGCGTCACGATGGCTTTGTTGAATGGTTGCCCGTTGATGTCATCCTGGCAGCAGATCGCCCTGTGGTGTCGTGGGCCTAATGACGTAATGCCCGACAGCAACATCTCTTAAGGACAAAGTGAGTTACGATCTCACCATAGCGACACCCATACTTAAGAGTCGTGTTCCTTTACGATATTTAGCATCGTATTACAAATTGTAGCCTGCCGGACTTACGGCGAAATGTTCTGTTATCTGGTCCCTCGGTCACACCTGGCCACAAGAGGCCAATTTATAAGCAGGGTGGAGGATGCTTCCTTTGGCTGGTGTCCGTTTTGCGTTCGAAACATCACGACGACCGATCGATCGCGCGATGACTTTTTTCGTCCTCCTTCAGCGTGATTTCAAAAAGATCGCCGTCTTTATATCCAGCTGGAAAAGTAAAAAAAAAACTAAAACGCTGACGCAGCGACGAAGTATAACGGAATATATTTATAGGATCGTGGTGTAAATGATGTGTGAAAATGGGCTTGATGGCAATATTTTATATTCTTACTTTAGTTGCAACAAGAAATTAACTAAAGGCAAAAAAAAAATAGTGTTTTTATAGTTGAGTGATGGTGCAATACTGTCTGGGGCGATAGCAGTGTCTGTAGATGCTGCCTAGGCCACTTTTTTTGAAGTGGCCTTTCCAAAAAGAAGAAATACCATCCACTCCGCGTGCACATCCGACATCAGCAGTGGAATGTCCGCCGTGGAGGAGGATGGAGGTCGCACTAAAACTGCCCTTTGGCTCGTGTCACTTTATCGTGTCTCTTTATCTGTCGGCATCGCGTCTTGCAGAGGGTCGTTGGGCAAATTTAGTTTTCTCGAAGTTTCACAATTTTTAAGAAAATGTGTTGTTTTTTTTCTCCTCAAACGCCGTGACTTTTTTAACTTGCAAACGATATTCATTTCACCGCGAGTATTTCTCCTTGGCTAACATCCGCGGGAGGTTACCGCCGGCGGTGGTATTTGTACACGACAGTTTAACAAAAAAAAACGGAGCCTGCAGTCTTGAACACCAGCACCTGCCTGTGGTTTGTACGCAAGCGTTGTACCATTAAATTTTCATCATCATTATTAATTACCTTCACATTTCCAGTCTTTTCGTCAGGCCTGCCCGGTGGCACCGCTCGCTCCCCCGGTAATTTAAACGACTTCGCGCGTTACCGGACGTTCACAACCCTGGAACGCAACGAGAGCTCGCTAGTTCGCTAGCTACTAGCTGCTGCTGCAGGACTGTGCCTTTGTTAGACGCTAGCATTGCTCGGCTGCCCCCTTCCTGATTGAAAAACAACAACAACAAAAACACCAAATTGAGTCGACATTTGCAGCAGAACACCCGGTATAGCATATTGCCATCCACCGCACCACAGGGGCGTCCCGTGAAATCTCGCGTATCGTTTGGTACGGCAGACCGCCCCTACGACTCTCGTAGGCGCGGTCGAGACGCCGACGCTGCTAGTTGTGGGGGCAACCTTTGGTTGCAACGACGACATCAACAACAACAAAAGCTGCGTGCGTTAGAACTTCCAAAAATAAATAATCAGGTACAAATAAAAATTTGATCGTTCTCTTAATGGGGGGGGGGGGTGGGGTGGGGGAAGGGGGGTTAGGGGTGGTTTGGGGTCGTGGGGGGGGGGAAATAATATTGAGATAATTGCTTTGCTTGCATGTGTGTGTGTGTGGATGCGTGCGCACGTGTGTGTGTGTATGTAGGGGTCATTGGGGCAGGCTGTTAAAAGGCTGTCGGTGGATTCTGCGGGGTGTTGAGTCACCAATGGAATGGGGCAGAACATTGAGTGTTTGTTGAGTAGGAGCGGTAGGGCGGTACCCTCCGGGTTCTCGTGTACGTATGCGTGGGACGTGCATGAAAGTGCCGTCCAGGCAATGGTACCCACACTGATTTCAAATGGTGCTCGAGTTTAGGTGGCTTTGGAAGATGTCGATTGCGACTTCGTAGCCGAACCTTTATGTTGATAATAGGTGATTACCCTTGTGCCGTGGGCTTAGCAGTGCATATATTTGTGACCGAGATCATCCCGAGGACATTGACCATTTGTCAACCCTTCCAGATGATCGGCCAAGGGGGGGGTGGCTAGACTGCGCCTCGTGACCCACGAGTGGCTCGATAGCTTGCTTGATAACTTTTAAACGCAACTTCATTTGAGACGGGGGGTGGAAATTAAAAATCTGTGGAAGAGGCAGCGACCCCGGGGGCACTCCGCCCTTGACAGCAGGGCTAGACACGAGTACTCCCGGGGGACTCCCGCAGATTTCTATGAATTCATAACTCCACAGCCAGCCAGCGAGAGCGATCCTGCGTGACCACCCCGCCAGAGAATTATTGTATGACATATTGTGCATCGTGTCGCTCTCGGCCATGTGAAGATGTCGGTATGATGCTCGTGGGGACAAGGACGTTTAGCCACCCCCTGCAATAGGCGTCGATTCATCGTAGCAAGAGCCAGAAGAGCCATTCCCTGACTCCAGTGAGGGCCGGCTGTGTGGCCCGTTTAGTGCTGGCGGGCCTTTGTCTGACAAAGGTGGACATTGATGAAAAATGACATTGTGGTCCGATCTCCAATCTTCTTGTTTAATCAGCCGAGCTGAGCATGGCAGTGCCCAGGCTGTTACATAATGTAATTGGTTACGTCTCATTGTCTGCCCGCGCATTGATTGACCCTCCAAGTCCACTTGTGCAGTTATGTAACTCGCATACCGAGCCAAGCCAACGTGTGACTCAAGTCCCAACTGCTCGGAGGTTTGCGGGGATTTAACAATTTTGCCGGCGCCGCAGATTTAGATTTGATACACCGCGGCGAAAGCGAATATTGGCCATTCGCCAGTCCACCCTCCATTTGTGTCCAGTGTCCATCCGTCGTCAGCATGGCATTTGGAAGCCATTTTTGCTCGATCTTACGGGAGTCGTGGGAGTGGCTCTACGGAGTGACGACCCAGGCTATTCTTTTTTGGTCGGGACGCTACGGTGGCGAGGTGTTAACTACCTCGCCTGGTATGCAAGAGGTCGTGAGTTCGATCCCGACCCTGACGCCTGCTGCTGTATATTTGGAGTTTGCATGTTCTCCCCGTGGTCGCGTGGATTTTTCTCCGGGTCCTCCGGTTTTTCCCTCCACATTTAGAATCAAGCGTTTCAAGTATTTGGCTGCTACAAATTTCCACTTGATAAGCCACTTTGTCGAGCTATCATTTGTGGCCAGGTTGCTTCTGAAAATGAGGTATATAGTTCAGTGGGCCTTACCTGGTAAAAAAAAAAAATGTTTATAGTTTTATATTTAAAAAAATTGCTGGCCCAGATTTTTTGACTGCGCTAAGCATTTTTGGCACCCCCACCCCTCCTGTGTGTGTACCTGTGTGTGTGCACCTGTGTGTACACCTGTGTGTGTACACCTGTGTGTGTACACCTGTGTGTGTACCTGGGCTACCCAGGTTTGCTCACTTTACTAATCAAAGTGTAGTATAAGTGAGGTTGATTATCCCCCCTCCCCCCAGCCCCTGTTCCCATGTGGTATGCTGCATCATAAATTGACCCCCCTCCCCCCCCCGTGTGTTTTGCCAGTAAGAGCTCCCACCCCTCGCCGCACAACGCCGCTTACGTGTACATTGCCGTGCCGTGTGTCCCGTCGTTTCATGTCCTCCGCGGGAATGGTCGCTTCCGTACGTCTAGGCAAGGGCTGCTTTGTTACTTCGCGGGGCGCTAAGTTCAGAGTGACGACGTCGGGGGCATCTGGTGGAGGGGGGGGGGGGGTCTTTTTGCGTTTGTTGTTGTTGCGAAACCGATGTGCTCCGTAGTGCTAGTCCAAAGAGAGATTTAGGAGAAATGTTTAAATATTGCACACGACCGCTTTTTTTTTTACTTTACTTAACACTTTTGTGTTGTGATTTTGGTGTCACTTTTTGTTTGTTTGTTACCGCATCACGTCGGGCGAGTTCATGGTGCGCAATTGCTTTTAGAGCGAGGCGTTTCGTTTCGTTTCAAGCATGGCATTGGTTTCCGTCGCCAGTTGTTTTTTTTTGTCCCAAATGTACAACAACCTCACCCTTACCCCCACTGCAAGCTATATTTGAGCACCTTAAGCACTCTCTGAATATGCCTTCCGTAGTACTGCAGCTGTATTAACTTCGATTTGTAGAGTGGGAAGTCCACGTGTGATTATTTATAGGGACTTTCTAGAGAAACACCGGAGCTGTTTTACAACTGGCATTCTTAAACGAAATGCACAACGCAAAACAGTAATAAGAGCTCGTCTATGATGGTGCTAAAAAAATCCGAGTGTTGTCTCTCCGTTGTTGTTGTTGTTGTTGTTTTTTTAATATAAATATATACACAGTACACATATATAAACACGTGTGCAGTCACGTCCTGTCCCCTGTGACTTTCGCAGCCCGGTTCCCGTGCCGCAGTCACGTCGGGAACCGGGTCGGCTCTCGATTTGCCGCATCACTTTGGGTTGCCACCTCTCCGGGGTAGAGGCAGAGAGAGAGAGAGACACAGAAAAAGGAAGTGGGCACGTGAACATGAAGGCGTGATGAATATCTAGCGGAGAATTCCCCATTCCCCCCCGCAACGTCAATAAATGTTAACCGTATAATGATTATTTAACAACGTGAAGTCACCACGCAGCACGATTTTTTTTTTTACTTTGTATCAGAAAAAAATCTGCCGTTGTTTTGCACGCGCTCGTAAAACTGCCTGGTGCATTTTTTATCGGTACGGGAAGACGTCAGCGCACCGGGCTTATGACAGAGTGCCACGTTTGTTATTTTGTCTTGCGAATGCAATTATCATGCTACTGCTTCCAATATTTTACAGTATTCTCCCGATGATACGATGCTTTAGAGAAGTGAGACTCACCCCCAAAACGTGTGCCCGGTGTCAGTTCAGTCAAACAACTACAGTCTCGCCGCAACTTCTGTTTTAACTTACAAAGGGAAAAAAGTCGTTCTTATAATCTGGGGAATACGTTATATATCATTATATTATCTTGCGTGGTGTACTATTATTATGATTATGCAACTGACAATACCCAGGCATTTTTCTTACGTCCAGATTTCCCAGGACAACAGCTTCCTCCGAATAACACCCAAATAGAAGAGGACGAGCCTGGAAATAGCCGGGACAGGTGGCAACCCTGGTGTCACCCCTGCCTGGGAATGGTAACGTTCCGTTCGGAGCGAGCCACGCGCACGCAGTCACACCAGCCTCTTAAAGTCATTATGCACTTACTGTGCAGGGGTGATGGCCGGCAGATCAAACTGGGTGCAGCGACCAACTTTTGTACCGTAAATACTGCGCCCCCCAACCCCGCTACGCAATCGATGTGTAACTTGCGACTTCCACCGCTGATTTGCAGAGTGAACATATGTCTCCCTCCTTAAACGTCTTCTTGCACAAAATACTCCGTAGAACTTGAAAACTAGCATCACTGGCCAGAGGACCATGGTGTGCAGTAATCGTATATATAGACACGGTCAACTCCATTTATAATAACCGCTACGTGTTTTGTGCTCATGGAACCTAGTTTATTAGCGATCAGTGTTGCCAACTCGGCAATTTTTGGCGCTCGTTCCAGACATTTTTTAAAGTTTTCCATGGCAACAACATTTTTGTTTGTCGAAATGACCAGCGACAAAATCTGACGGTAACTCGGGACGAGGTGGTTTTGCGCAGATTCGGGAGAAGTCCCTGGTTCGATCGTCTCGCAAACATTTCCGCCAACAACTTTAGACAGCGAAAATCGAGCGGCTTTTAACAAAACAAATATAAATGTTTTGTTCGGAGCACGTCTTGAAAAAGTTGGCGACACTGACGACCAGAATAAGTGTCGACACGGCCTTGTTAAATATCCCAAAGCGTCCATCGTGTGTCCTGGGCAACTCTTTCAGAGCCACCAATCTCACCCCACTCCTCCCCACCACGGGTACAGTTGGCCATAACGCGATGTTTCCTTTTCCATTTGGCTTAAAGCATACGGCTCCTATAGTGTAGTCCACGTGATGTCTGCGTCCAGTAAAGGATGAGCGAGGTTCGACTTCAGCTGTCGTAGGTTTCAAGTGTT